TAGAGACGGGGTTTCACCATGTTGACCAGGATGGTCTCGATCTCTTGACCTCATGATCCACCCGCCTCGGCCTCCCACAGTGCTGGGATTACAGGCTTGAGCCACCGCGCCCGGCCAAGTACTTTCTTACATGCCAGGCATGGTGCTGCTTTATGTGCAGTATTTCCTGTGACATCATCTCATTAAAACAAGGCCAAGAACAGCTATGCATGTGAAGTTTGCTAGAAGGGGAGCTGGATTGAAGACTGAGTGAAGGGTTCCACTGGAACCAAATACCAGGGAGTCCTTTTCTAGTTTCAAGCTGCAGTGCTCCAAGTATAAGCAGCATCAGTTGGACCACATCATAACATCAGTGTGGGTGACAGTACCAAGGGAGGGAGAGGAGATGGAAGGGGCGCTTTCCAGTCTCAATCCACACCAACTGCCATCTTAACCAGACTGCTTTGTAGGAACACCAGCTTCACACTCCACCCATTTCATAGCATCACCAGCCTGGCTGGGCCTGCACTGCTCCACTGGAGTGTGGTCCCACTCCTACCACTGTTGATGCTACAATGATCTCTAATCCTAACCACCCACCCACTTCCCTGCCCTCCTCCTGTGAACAAGCTGATTAAGAGAAAGTTACAGAAATAAGAAACAGAAATTTAAAAAGTGGCCCAGACAACCAAAGAAAAACATACTAAACTGAGGTGGGGCTGAGAGGAAGAGCAGTGGGGCACTGTTTCTGTCACTTCACATTGCTATATCCATCAGCCTGTTGCCAATGGACTGTTTCTTCATCTTTTTCTCCCAAAGAACAGATGGTTAAGTTCCTCCAGGGCCATATCCTGAGGTGTTTTCCTGGTATCCAATTTCCTACTCTTAGAATACTCCTCCCTCTTTCCCACACTAGTAGATGTCCTATTCCTGATATGCCATTCTAAAATGTAATGCTAGTAATCCAGAACTTTGAGAAGCCAAGAAGGGAAGAATGCTTGAACTCAGGAAATCAAGAGCAGCCTGGGCAAATCGTGAGACTCTATCTCTACCCAAAAAATGCTTTCCCTTAATAATTGCACCCTACTCTCTATCTTTCCCACCATTAATCATCAATAACTCAGTTATATTGGGGCCATCTTAGCTTCCACCCTGGGAATCAACCTGTTCAAGACCGAAATATCTTGTCCTCCAAGAGTCAGATCTTCCTCAGCTACTGAACAAGAATGTAAACATTCTAAACAAAGAATTGAAAACATTTTTACTGCTATAGACCACAGGATACTTTCTGGAGACTCTATGACAGCAAAACCCCAGCAGCCATTTGGCTTGACCCTTTACCACATGGCAGTCCCAGGCAGGAGCCTGCCAGGCTCTCACCTGCCTCTGCCTGTCTGCTGCCTCCTTTGTCAGAATCTTCCTGACCAACCCAGTAAGTCCATGAGAAAGCAGGTCCTGTGACAAAGGCAGAGGGGAAGACAGATCAACACTGAGGGTCTAGACAGAGGCTTTCAATGAAGACTCATACACATATATGTTTCTTGAAGATATTTATTCCGATCCAATCATATTTTCATGGGAAAGACACTATCCCTAATTTGCCCCTAGGATCCACATTTTCAGTTTCCCAGGGAATCTCTCTTTCCTGGAACCCTCTTGTTCCTCTGGAGTCAGGAACAAGACTCCAGAGCTGTTTATTTTTCTCACACGGGGCAGGGCTGGGGGGTGGAATCTCCTTCTCCACAAAGGGTAATCAGACATCTACTTCCTCTGCCAGTTCCTGGGCTGACCTGCAAATTCCACCTTATTATTGCCCTTGGGTCTCTGGTTCCTTTTTGTCTGAGGTCACATTTACATGTGTGATCTGCCGATGGGCAGATCCTGTTAGGCCATCGTGGGACACATGGTGGCTTGATCTGGATTGCCCATCGCTTTCCAACTGGGGCCATCACGACAGCTGCAACTCACAACCAATCTTTTGTTGACCAAGAGCTGATTTCCCAGGGGACTTGGCCCCTCTTCTTTGGTCTCAGTGGCCCCTATTGAACGTCCCGAGTGAGGAAGAAGTGTCAAAAACATCACATGAATTCCCAAAGTTGTTAAGGTAAACTGGACAGTCAGGCACTCAAATCACACATTGGCTAAAAACACCAAGAGGGTAGGAGCACCCTGGGGCAGAATGGACTTAGAGAATTCCACCCTGAGGTCACCTCAGAGACCTGCCGTCTTTTCTCGTACAGACAGAACTCCTTTTCAGTTTTATGCCGATCCTCTGGTGCGTCTGCACCTCCCTCACAGAAAGCCCTCATTACCTGAAGAATGCAGAGGTCATTTGGTCAGCTGGGCAGGGAATACCAGCTCTTGCCAACAGGCTCCTCTGAATATGCCACCTCACCTGGGGCAAAGAGAAACTCCACTTTTAACTAACCTGTGTGAGTTCTCTGATGACTCATAAGACGGGAACTCCGAGAGAAGCTTTCTCCACATTCAGAACATTTATAGGGTCTCTCTCCTGTATGCGTTCTCAAGTGGCGAATCCGATTGGAGCTGTGGGAGAAACTGTCTCCACATTCATGACAGGTATAGGGTTTTTCTCCTGTATGGATTCTCTGGTGCCTGATTAAGTTGGATCTATGAGAGAAGTTTTCCCCACAAAGGGTACATTTATATGGTTTCTCTCCTGTATGTGTTCTCTGATGTCTGGTGAGGTGCATGCCCTGCCGGAAGCTTTTCCCACAAGTCAAACATTCAAAGAGCTTCTTCTCTGCCTTGCGGGCTCCATGGTTTGTAAGAAAGGAGGTGCTGTCACTCACGGCTTCCCCACACTCAGAGAAGGGGTAAAGTCTCTCTTTCTCATGAGTTCTTTCATGAATGACGAGGTGCGAACTCCGAGAAAAACTCTTCCCACACTCGTGACACTTATAAGGTCGTTCTCCAGTGTGAATTCTCTGGTGCCGAAGGAGGTTGGAACTGTGAGCAAAGATCTCCCCACACTCAGGACACTTGTAAGGTTTCTCCCCTGTGTGTGTTCTCTGGTGCCTGTGGAGGTTGGAGTTGCAGGAGAAACATTTTCCACATATGTTACACTGATAGGGCTTCTCACCCGTGTGGGTGCGCTGGTGGCGAGTCAGATGGGTGTTCTGACTAAAGCACTTCCCACATTCGAGGCACTTGTGGGCCTCCTCTCCCAGGTGTGCTCTGTGTAGTGACAGGAAACGTGGGTTCCCACCAAAGATTTCACTGCAGTCCACACCCAGACACAGTCTTTCAGCTGCATGGATTCTCTGGTGCCTAATTAGGTTTGAGTTGTTAGAAAAATTTTTGCCACATAAGGGACATAAATGGAGTTTTTTTGGCTGCAGTTCCTTCGGTCGCCCCAGTTCTCTGCTACTTGAGGCTCCTGCAGAAGACTGCTCCATTCCACCCTCTGGGGGAGGTGCCCAATCCCCTTGTGGCCGGTCATGAGGTCTTCCCAGCTCAGTACTCCAGGGCACCTCCCCTCGGACCTGGTCAGGAAGCAGCACCTGTGGGTGGGTGTTCTCAGGGGACACAGATGGAACACCTTCTTCCAGGTTCTCAAATTTCTCTTCTCCTAGTAGAGAGAGAAAGCAAACCCCTATATTATTTCTGTGCTGGAGAAAAGAAAATCCCACTGGTCTGCTACTGCCTGTTAGGTCAGCATCCCAGGACTGCTTCTACCTCAGTCTCCCAACCTCTCCCTAAAGGTAAAGCACTCTGGAGAAGCATCGGGATAAAGGGTGGGGCCACTGGTCTAGGAATCAGATCTGAGACCAGTCTTGGAATTTTCCTTTCCAGCTGAGCCTCTCACTTCTGCCCTTCAGGAATGGGTGGGGTGCAGCAGGGCTATGAATGGGGGGAGGGGGACAAGTGAGCTCAAGAGTAAAGGCCTCCTTGAAGTCTGCACCCTGGGTTCCTCACTTGCCTCACTGAGATGGAGAATGGCAGGGGTACCTCTCTGGCAGCTGTGGTGGGATGGCCCTGCACCCAAATCCTCAAACGTCTTGCTCTTAACTGCAAAAGCCTTGCTGGGGAGGCCACTCGTCTTCATTCCTTACCTGGAACTGGGCCTCTGGGGTTCAGGCCCTCCTTGCAGCTCTGGACACTGGGATCCCACAGCTTTCCTCCTTGTCCCACCTGGGTGCTTGGGACTTCCTGACTGGGAATGTGAGACTCTGTTCACAATGAAAGAAACAGATTTCTGTATTGTCACTTTCCTCTACTAGGCTAGGGAAACAAAGAGAGTCTTATTTTCTGCCCTCAGTGGGTAGATACAGAATGCTCCATAAATCTGACAGCAGTTACGTAGAAAATACACAAAACTGTTGCCAGTGGATACCTCTAGAGAAAGAAATTAGGAGAGGGAGACTATTGTTTTGAGACAGAGTCTCACTCTTGCACAGGCTGGAGGGGAGTGGTACCATCTTGGCTCACTGCAACCTCTGCCTCCCAGGTTCAAGTGATTCTCCTGCCTGAGCCTCCCCAGTAGCTAGGATTACAGGCATGCACCACTACACCCAGATAATGTTTTTATTTTTAGTAGAGATGTGGTTTTACTATGTTGGCTAGGTTGGTCTCGAACTCCTGTCTTCAAATGATCTGCCTGCCTTGGCCTCCCAAAGTGCTGGGATTATAGGCATGAGCCACTGCGCCCAGCCATTTTTTTTTTTTTAACGTATTCATGGTACTAAGAATGCTTTTTTGCAATAAGAATGTACACTACTGTAATTAAAACAACTATAAAATGTACATGGTCAGTTCCCTGAACAATCCATTTGATATCATAAAAGAGCCTTGTCTCTACATATAAATATGAAAGAGAACTAAATTTGGGCAACTGCAGAGGAAGAAAATATAACATGACAGACAATCAGAAAAGGACCCAGGGCTCTAAGAGGACCATGAGATTAAAACCCACAAGCGTCATTTCTGTGCTGTGCCAAAAAGAAAAACAAAAACCTCCTCCTCCAACAGACATGGACTCCAACAGAAGTAAAATTCCAACAAGCTATAATCTGATCTTCTCTTCCAATTAAGCATTTCTCACTAAAAGGGCCATGTTGAACTTTAGACATCACAGCAGTGAAAAGTACTTTGGAAGCTGGTACAGTGGCCTGCAGGCTGAGGCAGGATGACTGCTTGAGCCCAGAAGTTCGAGAGCAGCCTCAGCAACAGAGTGAGACTCATCACTTTAAAAAAAAAAAAAAAAAAAAAAAAAAAAAAGAGGCAGAGCTTGGTGGCTCACACCTGTAATCCCAGCACTTTGGGAGGCCAAGGTGGGCGGATCATGAGGTCATAACGTCAGGACTTCCAGACCAGAATGACCAACATGGTGAAACCACATCTCTACTAAAAATACAAAAATTAGCTGGGCATCGTGGTGTGTGTCTGTAATCCCAGCTACTCAGGAGGCTGAAGCAGGAGAATCTCTTGAATCCGGGAGGCGGAGGATGCAGTGAGTCAAGATCATGCCACTGCATTCCAGCCTGGGTGAGAGAGCAAGACTCTGTCTCAAAAAA